TAAAATCCACGTGCTACATGTGGGAGACCGAGTTTTGGTCCTAAACCAAGTCACTGTTTTCACATTTTCAAAGGTAATCAACCAACGCATTAGCTTAATTACACTGTGATTAGTTTACTTAAATCAACGGACGGCCAAATAATCCAAAAAGGTCCAGCTTCGAAACCCCAATTATTTTGTATTTAACCCTAACAAAAATTAAACCCTTATAGTGACCCAATTATTGTTTTTTTTTTTTTTAAGCTTCCACTATAGCTGTAGATTTGTTTATTTTTTAAATTTCATTTTTAATGGTAGAGAATTAACAGTATTTATTATCTATGTAACATTTTAAATTTGAAGCAATATTGTGCAAATTATTTTAATAGTTGGATGAATGCACACAAATAGAAGTGTGTGTAAATATGTGTGATTGATTGATTAAAATATGTGCAAAAAAATGTCACAATCTACCCACCATGTGATACAAACTTAACCATACACTTTTAGAAACCAATTTGACTCAAAGTAATTAATTAGTAGTCTTATAATTTTTAGAATTAATCAATTTGAGATAATTCTAATAAAAAAAAATTCAGATTTCACCCGAAAATTGACATACTATGCACATGTGTCCTAATAAGTTTGATCAAAATAATTTTTAAATTTTAATTATTTTTTATTTTTTTTTTCTCAACCAAAATTATCTTAGAATGATCAATTTTAAAAGTTAGCGAAGGTACTGTCAATTCGAACAATTCGATAGAACTATTTTTGATACACCATAATCCCCAACTGATTGTACAAATTAATATAATTTGCTTTTTGTTATCTCAAATATCCAATAAGGACACGATATATAGTGACGTATTTTTTTATTAGGACACATCAATAATTAAATGTTTAATTATTAACTAATTTATTCCTATAATTGTATGCGAATGCAAAGACTACGTGCTCACGACTTAATTATCCACACTGTCATTCTCCATTTTCTTAATCTTTTGAAAGAGAAATGGGGGGCAAATCTGCATGTTGTCATAATCCCAACTAATTAAGGTTTATTATTTTGGTAATTATAAAGTTATGAGATTACTTTCTCGGCATAAATATTGATCACACGTGTCATGTTGTGGTGTATCCACTGATCAATGATAGTGTATCATTTAATATTGAGACAAAAATAGTGGACTATATAAAGATTTGTATTATTGGGAGATATAATAAGCTCACAAGCTCCAATCATTAGTGAAATAATACAAAATTACAAGTATTAAGATTTAGATTTAACCAATATTATAAGCCTGTTGCCGTTAGTGGTTGTTCATCTCTTCATCTCTATATTAAAAGCTTCCCATATATTATGCGAGTATGAAAATGTTTTTTCTCTCTTAATAATCCCCTTTTATTTTTTATGATAGTAGTTTTAATATTTTTAAATAATTTTTTAATATAAAAATATTTAAACAATTTGAATATGTATATAAATTACTATATCAACTTGTTATACGCACTTGAATGTTTAAATATTTAAAAAAATATTTTTATAAATATAGTTTATTAATACTTCTAATATTCTATATATTTAAAAATAGTAATAAATTAAATATTGATCCATCCAATTAACCATTAAATCAGTTCATAACCAATAAACCTTAATTTTATGTCATTTATGGAGTTTTTTTGTCGGTTAATGCCTAATGGGAACCAATTACTTTGTGCAGCAGTTTCTAGCCACCAAAAGCAAAATAGATGCTTAAAATAAGTAAACCAAACGTCACAATTCAAAAAAAAAATAAAAATAAAAAATTAAATAAATAAAATATTTTGAGAAGATAATGATATATACTTCAAAGGTTCATCCACCATAAATGTTAAAATATATTAATATGACATCCCGTATTAGCTCGAAAGAGACACTTGTGCATGAGTTAGGTTAGTCGTGTTGACGAGCTATAATTATTATTTATTAATTATTTAATATTCTCTCAACTTAAACATTAAAACCAATTATAATCTGACAAGCATTAACAATGAAGGAAAATAAAAAGGAAAAGGGAAAAAAAAGGACATTAGTGGCAAAACACTTGAGTCAACACGAAGGCTATCTTCAATAACTCACCAACAAAAGGAATTTTCTTCTGAAAATGATATAAAACTAAATTGAGCACAATGTAAACAACATAAAATTTCACCCTACCAATAATTGCTCCTAAGACCTATGTGAGTCCAAGGACCAATTTCAATAAAAACCTAGGCAAAAAAACACACACAAACACACACAATTCAATCAAAAACATTGTAAAATGGAACTGGATTGGTCGAGTCGAGCCTAGAACTCACAAACACGGACCTCCGAGTTTGGTCAAGTTAAGGTTAACCCGAAACTCATTCGATTGCATGAAGAAAAGCCCAAGATTATTTTTTTCTTAAACTTGGGTCTACTGAATTTGGACTGAGATCGAGCCCGATTATTCAATTTTAGTTATATTA